CCCTTTCCCCCCCCCCCCCCCCGTGTCTGTCTGATTTTTATTCCACCTTTCTTCTCTCTCTCTCTCTCTTTTCTGCATGACGAAGCTAAAACATCTTCCAAGCAAAGATTCCAGGTGAAGCATAATGGGGGAGTGGGGAAGGAATTGCCCTGTTAAAGATCCTAACTGTGTAGCTGCTGGTTCCTTTTACCCCCTTCTCCAGCTCTGCTTTTAAAGTTCCTCTGGATGATGGATCTGGACAACGGAATCCATAGTGGATTAGCAACGGCCAGTGGTGGAATGGATGTGTTGAACTTTTGTTGCTCTTTGACATTAAAAAAAAATCACCAGCAGGAAGAATATATTGACAGAAAAGCTGCAATCCGCTGATGTGTTCTGTTCAAGACAGCAGATCCAGTGCGTCTGCCAAGGAGCAACATGCGGTGTGTGGAGTTGGATTTACTAGGAAAGAAAGGGGGGGATCTTCGTAGAAGGCAGAAATCAGAGGTAAGCAGGCTGTTTCAGTGTTCTTGTTGGGTTTTGAAAATGGGGTTCTTTTCAGCCTTAGAGCTAAGAGGAAGAGGCATCAAGGATGCCTTAGATCTCCTTCATGAATCCCAGAACTTAATTTGCATTATAAATGCCTGGTTTGTAAACAATACTTTGTCAGGGATTCTTCTCTGCTTTTCAAACAAAATGAAGCAGTCAAGTTAGCAGTTTTTGTGACATCATGTTTAGTGCAAAAATTGGATGCCAAGCCTTGTTTATACCAAAACACCCTTTTCTGAAATGGTTGGATACGCTATAGATAATGTGCATTTGGATATATTACAGAAGGTATGTTTTGATTGTAGTTCAAATATTAGAAATTGTGTTAAAATCAGTGTTTTTTAACTATGACTTTAGAATAGAAGCTGCAAATGCTGGATAATTAAAAACAGTATTTAGCCTAGCTGTTTTGAAGCCAACGAATAAGGTAATAAATTTTATTGCACTAATCAGGCTCAAGATGTTCTCTGTGTTAATTGGGTTAAAAATTGCAGTACTTATTAGAAATTCTAATTTCACAATGCAGCACTGACAATAAGCCCAGCCAGTGAATTATTCACATCTTTAATTTGCTCACTTAATGACAGTGTGCTGTAATCAGAGTGCAGAGAAGGCTTCCTATGCATTATGTATGATGCTCAGGACTTTAATGCAGGACATTATG